GTGTGTGTGTGTGTGTGTGTGTGTGTGTGTGTGTGTGTGTGTGTGTGTATGTGTATCAGTTTTGCCTGGAAAGTGTGAAGACCCAATCTTGATTCTCAGATACTCAGAGTCTATGTAAAAAGTCAGCATGGTGGTTCACACTTGTAATCCCAAGGCTCAATGGTCAGTCAGTTCAGCCTAATCTGTGATCTCCATGTCACTGAGAGCGATTTTTCCAAGGAGGTGGATGGCATTCCTGAAGATGACATCTCAGATTGTCCTCTGGCCTTTGTGTATGTGTGCTCATAAAAGCAGCAAGCAGAAGTAAAGTTCCAGTCAGTTCTACAGGGTAGTGAGTGGCTCGATTGACACTCCATAGTTTGGCACCCTACTAAAGCAGTACTGAAACCTAGTAGTTAATGGGATAGTGTGGACAGGCAGGCTGTTTTGTGGGAACCCTGCTTTGGAGTTGTGATTGAGTTCCTTAGGAAGGAGTCATCGCACAGATTCGAATCTTCTGTGTTTGTGCCTTCTATCATACGGGGATCAAACTGTCCTCCTCTGAAGCGTCATGGAGGGGGCTCTAGCAGGATGCGAGTGCATTGAATGTGGACTTCTTCTGGAGAACTGTGGGAAAGCAGTTCGGTTCTTTTAAGTTACCCACTTCTAGTAACAGCAGCACAAGGGACCTCAGATACAAAGAAAGAATATTAAACAGTCCTAGCTGATAGTGTGAATTCTTCCTCAACATTCCCAATTAGTCTGGACTCCTGAGAAGTGGATGCAGCGGTCTCTCTCACAGTTACAGGACGAGCAGGGGCCAGTTTCCTACGGTAGCATGACTGCTCAGAAAATAGCCAAGTTTTGTTGAAGATGGGCTTTGGCCAAAATTCATCGTTCTGGTCTTTTGTTGGGAATATATATCATGCCCAAATATCACACAAGAAAATGGCCTTAAAATATTGTTTTTGAGTAAGTCTCAATAAATATTATCATAGAAATGTATCAGGAGGAGATGGTTTCAGCGGGAAATTTTACCCAAACCACACCACCAAGTACCAGGAATGCATGTTTTGGTATTAGAAGTTCTTTGGCATTCTGTAAATAGCATTGTTCCATTTGGAAGGGCCCCCTGACAGTCAGTTCCTTTAAGAGAAGGTGACTGGGACATTAGAAAGCTCCTTTGCTTGGCTGGAGACACTGAGTGCTGCTACTTTTGTTTGGTAACAACTATTGATCTTGAGCTAGTCCTGAGTGCTAAGTGGAAACACTCAGTCAGACAGCTTTCTTATTTGGGGTCTAGTACCCTGGGTATGTTAAAGAACCCTTCATAACTACCAGGCTTTTTCTTGCTGGTTTTCAGATTTTATTTATTCAAAATAACATGTGTTTATTTACTTTCTGTAAGGACAAGAACATCCAGACTCCTCTGCCCATGGTGCATGGTTTTTGGTGGTAGTGGTGGGGATCTCTAACCCTGCTGTACACTAGAGTCCTTGGAGTTTGTTTAAAGGTCCCCTTCCTTTGAGTCCATGCTTGAAATTTTGATGAAGTACCTTGATTAGAGCCCTGAAATCTGTATTTTAGTCATCTTCTGTGGAGAGCCTCAGGAAGGATTTCCTTAGTCTGCCAATTTGACAAACACTGTGTTTGAAGCCCTATCAGGTTAAAATAGTATTTCTCTAAATTGTTGGAAGTCTCTCATAACCCAAGGGCCCAGCCCAAGAGCATCTCCATTTTTTCACTGTCAGGAATTATAGGTGCCAAATTCAGCTCCAGTGCTTGGTATAGATACATGGCCCCCAGTCCTGGTACTAGAGCAGCATTATTGGGAAATGAGGGGACATTTGGAAGATAAGACCTTGTGCAAACTCCTTGGAACTTGAAGGTATATTGAAAGCAATTTTTGGGCACCCAGCTGTGCCCACCAGTCCCTAGCCCTTCATCTTTGTTCTCTGGCCCTTGATGGACTGGCTTTGCTCTGTCATATGCCCCTTCCACGTATGTTGCCTTCACATAGGCTCCTTGACGATTTAAATGAGAATGGCCCCTATAGGCTCATATATTTGAATGCTTAGTCAGGGAGCGGAGCTGTTTGAGAGGATTGCAAGGATTAAGAGGTGTGGCTGTTTTGGAAGAAGTGTGTAACTGGGAGGGAGGACTTTGTAGTTACAAAAGTCAGTGCTAGGTTCCAATGCTCTCGCTCTGTATGGATCAGGATATAGAACTATGTCCACCTATGTATTGCCATGGAGATAATGGACTATTCTCTGAAACTATGAGCAAGCCCATAATTAAATGTCATGGTGTCTCTTCACAATGATAGAAGAGTGACCCCAGTGTCGAGCCTATGATCAAAAATATCTCTCCTTCTTCCATCTTTGTTTCCCTCCATTTTCCTTTGTCTCTTTCTCCTCCTCGACTCTCATTTTGAGCCATGGTCTTGTTGTATAAGCCAAGCTAGCCCAGAATTAGTATGTGACTTATTCTGTCCTCAAATTTTCTTGGCCCGCATGTCTTGGCACCAGAGTATTGGGCTTAGAGACATGAGGTACCACACATGATAGCTTTTTCCCCTTTATAAATGAGGACTCAAATATTGTGCTCTAGTGGTGGAAAGCTGGTAACAGGACACGTTTCCCCTGAGCGTCTTCCCTTTCCGGGTGTTACACCGTTCCCAGGTCCCTTTCAGCAGCACCACTAATGAGCATGTGCAAGCAGATACGTCTCATTTGTCTAATCCTGGAGTATGAACTCCAAGAGAAGACTGGTCAGGGTTTCTGTAGTCCTGGGGCAGAACTTACATCTCTGCAAATAGAACCACGTCGCTGCCTTATTGCTGAGGAGAGTGAAGGGTGTCTCCATAGTGATGCTGACCTCAGGAGAATTTCAGAATTCTTGGGTCCGAGTGCTGCTCTTCTCCTAAAAGGAAGGAAGCAGGAACTGTGCTGAGAGCCCAGAATGAGCAAATCTTGCTAACACAGCTTTATTCTCTATTTGAAAAAAAGGCAGAAGTAAAAACCGCAGCAGCTTTTAAGAATGACAATACACAGTTTGAAGGGATGTTATCCCCTCAAATGTGTGGAGATCAAGGTACCCTTTGTTATACTATGGTAATGATTTGGTGCTCATCTAGTGTGGAGAAGTAGCATGTAGCCTTGTGGGATTCTATGCATTGCTTCTTTGCCATACACTACCATCAGGATTGATTCTAAAGTCAGAGGTCCTAGCTCTTACACTGGTGGGGCAAGGGAGGACTTAAGTGTCTAGTGGAGAAGGGTTGATGTTCTGTAGGAACCCACTTCTTTGAATAGAATCATTTATTTGACTCGTAAGGTTTTACTCATTGGACCATGCATCTTACTCTGTGCTTTTTGTGTTACTGAGTTTGATTTTTTCTTATTACTTTTAAATATAAGTTTGTATGTGGGAGATGTGGGAGGGGTGAGCACATTCCTGTATGGAGGCCGAGTGATGGGGTCTATCATAGGTATTGCTTCTTAAGTTTGTCCAGGTTTTCTTTCTTTCTTTCTCTCTTTCTTTCTTGCTTGCTTGCTTTCTTTTCTTTTCTTTTCTTTTTTCTGAGACAGGGTTTCTCACTGAAATTCACCAAGTAAATTCATGTTTAATCAGCATGCTCCCTGTCTCTGCCTCCCCAGACCTGGAATTACAAAGGTGTGCTACCTTTTTAAAATGTAGGTTCTGAGGTACTTGCCTGGGAAACACTTTACTCACTGAGCCAGTTCCTCGGCCTGACTATAACTAGGAATGGGTCATTAAATAAATACTTCTTTCAGAACAGGGGCATCCATGTTGAATGTACTCTGCAACCTCTGCTGACAGCCCTCTGTCCGGGGATACATAGCAACCTGGCTGTATGTGTCAGCACTGAGTCTCAGGCACCTGTGACCTCTGTATCACAGGTGAGACCCTGACTTCGACTTTTGCAGGGGTACACCTCCAGGCAAAACCTACAGTACACAAAGAAAGCAGACTCAGTTGGGACCTTAGCCTGAGCAGCTGACTTGGATCTACTGCCAAGTAGCAAGGAATCTGGCACATGTTCTGAGCACCTCAGCCAACTTGAGCCGCCGAAGCCCAAGCTCCCCTCTGCACCCCCTCACAGTGTGGACAGCTTTCCTGTTTGTTTTGTTCTTTTCTTGTTTTATTTAAAAGTCAGATTTCATCCTTGAAGGGCAACAAAACTGTGGGCGCTGCACATCGGCCGGAGTGAGGAGAATAAGCTGACCAAGTAGAGGCTGTATCAGGTCACCTTTCCTGAAGCTGATCCTTGGACGGTCCAAGCCACTGTGTTCTTTTGGACTGTCTTCAACCAAGTATGTCGTGCAGTGCCAAGCCTCAGGATACCAAAGAACTGCTTACAAAACACTTGCTCCTTCACGAGAAGCAGAACGGTTTAGCCAAGAGAAGATTCCTGCCAAGAAATCTCACATAGGCTAAGCTAAAAGCTAAAAGCACCAGCACACGAGAGTGAGTTCTCGGTAGAGCAAGGCACAGTGGGTCCTACTCAGCCTCCCAAGTGCTAAGATTACTGGTACGTGTCACCACATCCCGCTGAGATCGGGAAGAATCAATAGCGGAGTTTGCTTGCCTTTCAGTGTGGCTGGGTGTCTCCCTGTCCACTGAGGACCTGGAAAGAAACAAGGGAGGAGGACAATGAGTCCACCCTTTTGCTTCTAGTCACCCTGTTTGCTTCAGACTTCACTGTGTTTGGACTAGAAGTCACGTCACTGACTGTGGGTCTTAGAACTTAGACTGAATTCTGCCACCTGCTCCTCTGGGTCTTCAGTTTGCAGAAATGTCTTGGAATCCTCAGCCTTCACAATTTTTAAAGTCTTGCTAGGATACATATCTGATATAAACACATATAAATAAATACATCTCTCTATACACATATATGTCTACATGCATACACATAAGATACATTTATACTTGGAGATCTGTCTATTAATGAACAAGAATATCCTATGACCTACTTTGCGGGTCCAATACGACTCCTGAGGACTTCTTGACAGCCGTGACTAAATGCCAGTTAGTGCCCAGTGACAGCCATTTTGTTCAAGGACATCCCTAATCTGTGTAATTCACTTGATTTTACATAGATGGTTTCATGTTATTATAAAGTTCAAAGCCAATTTAACTCTTTTGCCCCATGTTTTCTGTCCTCAATAATGAGTCAAGGATTCCTACAAAGCAGTGAATATCCTTCTCCTTAATTTTTTTCATTGTTTGAGAATTTCATACGTGCATATAGCATGCTTTAATAAAATCTACATTCCCTCCTCTCCAAGTTTTTCCTTTCACCCATACCATTTTTGCTTCCCAATTTCAACCTCATGATTTTTGTTGTTTTGTTCTTTTTAAACCCAACAAAGTCTGCTTAGTGCTGTTTTTATGTGAATGAATGTAGGAACAGCTACTGGAGCCCCTTTCAGGGACAGCATCAATGAAGAAACTCAATCCCCCCCCCCCCCAGTCTTCAGTAGCTATCTGTTAACAATAGCTCCTTTGCTAAGGGTGAGAATTGACTAGAATTGAACTGGCTTGATCATGTGCCAGCAGCCACAGCATACATGCATACACATAAGATATGTTTGTGTTCTGAAATCAGTTTCTATCATCACTGTGGTGTTTTAAATGAAATTGCCTCCCCTCCCCCACCATAGACTCATATATTTGAATAGTTGGTTCCCAGCTGGTGGACTGTTTGGGAAGGAGTAGGAGGTGTGGCTTTGTTGGAGGTGGGTCATTGGGGATGGGCTTTGAGATATCAAAAACCCACACCAGGCCCAGAATTCCTTTGTTTGCCTCCAACTTGGGGGATAAGACAGAAGCTCTCAGTTACCTTTCCAGCACCGTGCCTGCCCCCCTGCTGTGGTGCCCTCACCATGTGGTTATGGAAGTCACCCTCTGAAACTGTAGACAAGCCTCCAATGCTTTTATCAGTTGCCTGGGTCACGGAGTCTCTTCACAGCCACAGAACAGTAACGAAGATAGTCACTCTCACAGAAAACTGAGGATCATCGTGTAGCTTGTCCTACAGCCCAAGAAGCAGAGACAGAAATTGAGCAATGGGTGGGAAATGAGTAATCAAGGAATCAAGATAACCTTGAAAGAAAAAAAATGAGAACAAAAAGAAAATGATAGGAGAGCCAGGACTTTTATCTGCGTGAGTTTCGTTCCCGGGCAAGACGACAAAAGAAAGGGTCAGGAGGTAGTGAAAGTGGCCATGAGGTGGAGCCAAACCAAAGGCCGGAACAACCCCAAACCAAGTGTCAGTGTGCACCAGAGGCAGCATCAGGAGCTGGAGCTTCCTGGAAGCCGGGTCAGCAATGGTTAATGGGTTTCCCTGAACCTCCCTGTCCCACTCTCGGAGAGACGAAGGCCTTGGGACCAGTGTGGTACTAAGGGCCTTCTGCTATTTTTTTCTAAAATCGTCAGCGCTGAGAACAGCTAAAGCAGAATCTTACTGCAGTTGCTCCCGAACATCACTGTTCTCACCTCGATCAACTTCCTCAACCGCAGAACCGCGAACAAATAGATAATACATCGTAGGGTGAGAGGAAGAAATCCCCGAACTATTCCCTCCCTGGAACCTCTGTATGGGCTTTTTGACTGCATTTGGAAACTCACTCATGTCAGGAGCTGATCTGCAAAGAGAAAAGATCCAGAGTTTTCCCTCATAGCACCGGGATCCTTACAGCAGAGAGAAGTCTAAAGAAGTGTTGGAGGCCTGATACTTTTATATTTTTCAGGCAAATAATAATACTAAGTTTGTGAAGGAAGAGCAGGGCAAATAAATAACTGGACTAGGCAGTAAGTTGTAAGAATGTTACTCACTAATGGGTGAGGAGGGTTAGATGCTGGGGGAGGATAAGGACCACTTCAGAACTTGTTTGTTTATATCCGTTGCCGTCCCATTAATAATCTCTGGTGCTCACAGCCATTTTTCAGCCTTGCTGTGGGAAGGACATTGCATGCAAAAGAATTTTTATGGTTCCTGCCACAGGGAAAGTCAGGCCAAATAACCTTGCCTGAAGTTATAACAGCTTAGGTGATATCAGTTGGGTAAAAAAAAAAAAAAATCAGTTTGGCAATTTGATCTATTTTGTCCTAATGTTGCCAATTCTTTATACATACATACATACCCATGTATGCACTCCTATGTGTGTACATATCACAGCATGTCTCTGGAAAATATAAAGGTTAAGATAGTAGCATTTATATACATAGGAACTGATATATATAGGAAAAAGAAAAAACAATATATACTTCCTTACATTGTTATTTTATACAAATGCAAAATTATATGCCTTAGTTTTCCCTTAAGCTAGCTTTTAAAAATTATTTTTAGTAGTACATATAAAATGACTTAGTTAATTGACTACATAATGGTCAACTGAAAAGATGTCCCATAAAATAATTAGTTCTTTGTTGCTAGTTACTTGAGAGGGAGGGCCTGAACTTCCATGATAACTATACTGTTGTGATCATTACTTAACAGGTTTCTGTTTCCTTAGCCAAGGGAAACAGAACTGGAGAGATGGCTCTCTTAATAAAATGCTCTGATTTGAAGTGATGTCAGAACTAGGTCTTAAAAAAAAAATAGGAACCTATAGGATTAGGAGAAGAGGGGAGAAGAATGGGCCATTTTAGTCTGGTATAGTAGCATGAAAACTTTAATCTAAAGAATCCCAAAGAAGCAAGGGATGCTAGTTTGGAGAAGGAGCCAAAGAGATAGAGACGGGATCAGTAACTACTCTCATTGGGTTGGTAGATACCTGTCAACTGTAACTTAAGGAAGGAAGGGTTTAACTGAGCTCACAGTTTGAGGGTGCAGTCCGTCATGTTTCATGTAGGAAACATGGCCATAGGAGCTGGAGGCAGCTGGTCACACTGTTTCCACAGTCAGGAGGCAGAGACATGAATGTTCATGCCAAGATCTCTTGCTTGGTTTTATGCCTTTTAGCACCCCAACCCACAGAGTAGAGTCACTTACATTTAGGGTAAGTCTTTCCAACTCAATTAATCCAATATAGATAATCTATCATAGACAAGCCCAGAGGTTTGTCTCCTAGGGAGTCTGGATCTAGTCAAGTTGATGATTGATACTATCACAGGGTTTAAGATTATGTTTTCTAGAACAACACTGTAGAGCTTGAATAACAATTGGAAAGTGATGAACACATTTACTGGGGGCATAAATGTGCCAGATAAAAAAGTTTCATAAAGACAGAGGGTACTCTATTGAGTCCTTCTTGGAGCCAGAACTCTTTGTGTCCAAACACATAGATTTTTATTTCTTGTAAGACCTAGTTCAAATATCACAGCATATTGATATTATTGTGGCCTGATTTAATGCCAGGTAGCCTTAAAATTCTGTTCCAAAGAACATTTTACTATAGTGAATTTCTACACACAGTAAGAAATAGTTTTCCAAAGTGTAGTCATCATTATCATTAGCTTTATAAATTATGGCATCCACCAAGTTTTTAAGAGGAAGACTTTTGACCCTAAAATAAATAAATAATTTTATTAAAATAAGCTGTTGTTTTCATTTAGTCTTTCCTTGAAAAAAAGGGACAACCATTTTTCTATGTAAAATTATATACATTTTAAAAATCAAACTTTGGAAGCATAAGAAATATAAAATTCTAAATGTTTAATCATCAGTAGGTAGTTATAATTAACACTTTATTGATATCAAATTACTTGGCCATAAAAGATTTAATATAGCTATGATTTATATAACATTATATGCAAATATTTTTTAGTGTTTTTGAGGTAATTTTTAATTGTGTTTTTACTGTGTATCCCGGATTGGCCTTGAACTTTTATCCTCCTGTCTCAGTCTTCCTCCCAAGTATGCTTCACCAAGCTCCAGGACATTACAGATAGAGGCCAAAAGTAAATAAAGTATATCTAGTAGTTTCTCAGATACTGGAAGCATCCCATCTTATACTGTGACTAAATCTAGTGAAGAATAAGCTTTGGTAGCATGCTCATCAATGCCGTTAACTTAATTAGCATAGTGTTCAATCACTTTTTCTTAGCAATATTTGAACTTTTAAAAAGTGTTCTTATTTTGAATGTTATTTAAATGATAAAAATCTTAATGTAAGCTACATGACCAGATATAGTCATTAATAAATTTAAAATTCTTAAAAAAATAAAGAATTCTATTTTTTAAGAACATTATACAAATGGCAATGTTTTTTGTTTGAGAAATAAAGTCATGTTTGGTTATATTAGTCTTTTTTGTTGCTATGAAATGCCTGAGGCAGGCTAAATTTGTGTATAAAGTGTTTATCTAGATCATAGTTCTGGAGGTTCAAAGTTGGAGACAGAATGGGCCCCTCTGGTTCAGCCTTTAGGGAGGACTTGGCTGTAGAAGGCATTATGGAGAAGGATTATCAGAACAAGAAGCAGAGAGGTATCTCTCTAACTCAAGAGAGACTTGCAAAAGGGTGTGAAGTGTGGGATAGTTTATAATTTTAAGATCAAACAAATAAGATTGATTTTTTAAAAGAAGAAAACAGCCCCAATGTTTTACTTGAATATTAAGATTCTGAATAAATAAAAAGGTTAAATCTATCCTTTGTTGATATTGAAGCTAATCTGGGGAATTTAAAAATGGGTGAAGTTGGAAGATGGTCAAGAGATGATGTAGACACCATCTTCTTCATAATCCCCAAAGGGCTATGGATAACAAAAATGCTCTTTTGGATGTTGCATTAACTTATAACTGCTTACCATTCTGTGCTTGGTAAGTTATGGCCCCGGGTATCTTCTTAGCAAGCGGGACCATATGGTATCCCATCAAGTGTGAGTGGGGCCAGTGATTCATCATTAACTGATATGGTGTAGATGTTACTCCAATTAGATTTCATCATTTGCTAGCACTTGTGTGCCTGAAAGGGGACCCCCACTTAGGCAAGCCTTCAAACAACAACAGCAACAAAAAACAACAACAAAAAACAAAAAAAACAAAAAACAAAAAACACAGCACTGGCTGAAAACGTTACAACTTGTGACATAGTCTGAAGCAGAGGATTCCTGACCCACAGAGATGGCGAGGTAAGTCATGCATCCTGTGAGCTGTTTCATGTTAATTTGTCATACAGAAACTCAGGACAGGCCTGGTTTACATAAAGACTAATTCCGAGTGACTCAGAGTGTAGCTGTGAAATTGAAGGCACCCACTACTTCTAACATTAACTTTCTCTTCTTGTTAGTTTCTCCATTGCCTGATAATGTCACTTGAAGAAACAGCAAGACATGTTTCTGTTGTATCAAACTGTACTTACATTGACAGTTGACTCAAATCAGTGAAAAACCTGAAAGTGCTTTCACAGAAATGGGAGTTTGTTGATCTTATCCTAAACTCAAAAGATGACAACCAGCAACTGAATGAGTGACACAAATAACAGATTTTATCTCAATTTTCTGAGAAGCAAACTTTCAGGATGACAAATCTGTATCTTGCCCGATAAAGCAGATACAAGTCTAACAAGATTGATACGATGCTGTAGATAAACAGTGAACTCATAAATAGATATATAATAGAAATTGCATTAAAAGAACAAAGAGTGACTGTAGGGTAAAAAGGACCAATGAAAGAACACCCTGGCCCTGAGACCAGACCCAAGGAAACACACCTTGATTTTAACCAATTCAGGACTTGAAATCTAACCAATCCCCAAGCATAAAAGCCAACCAGTCCATGAACACAAAAAACAACCAATCCCTGAGCATGAAATCCAACCAATCTCTGAGCTTGTACCAAGCTCAGGACTTGAGATCCTACCAATCCCCAGCCTGGAAATCTTCATCCTGGAAAACGCCATCCCTTAGAAACCCTATAAAAGTTCTATACCTGTTCAGTTTTGGTCCTTTTTTTTTTTTTTTTTTTCCCATGCAGAGGCAACCACTCTGCCTGGATTCCTCTCTCTCAATAAATCTCTTGAGTGAGGTTTGTTGTAACGACTTTCTTGTGCTGGAATGGAACAAAGCTGTAACAACTTTCGCTGGAGCAGAGCTGTCTGTAATGGAGAAGCTTTCCCTCGGCGGAGAAGAATTGGAGCGGAGCTGGAGCAGAGAGGAACTGTAACACTTTGTAAGGGGAGACTTCCTGTTGCTGGAGCAGAGAGGAACTGTAACACTTTGTAAGGGGAGACTTCCTGTTGCTGGAGCAGAGAGGAACTGTAACACTTTGTAAGGGGAGACTTCCTGTTGCTGGAGCAGTTGTTGCACTTTGGGAGCTGAGCAGAGTTCTCACAACCTCACTGGGGAAACCCTCTCCTGCTGGGACAGAGTTATTATGCTTGCCTTAGGGAAACTTTCTCTGAAGCTTGCTGTGGAAACTCTTCCCTGCTGGAACAGAGCTGTAACACTTCTGTTGGAATACCTTTCCCTTTGAAGAAGTAGGTATTCCTTGGCTTCTGACTGCCAGGATACCTTTCTATCAGAGCTGTAACACTTACAATGAGGACCCAAACTATTGAAGATAATCTCTTTTATCTTTGTTTTTATCTTTGTTGAATAAGTGATGTTTTTAACCTACTCATTTTTTTTAGAAATTTTAATTTGTAACCATGCTAATTTCTACATGGAAAAGAAACACTATTGGAAGGTCACACATAAAATTCATAGCTTTATCATTTACTATCAGCTTTGAAAGGAAATGCAATTCCCAGGGAAAATTCAATGCAACTTGATGTGTTTCTAAGTATTAGAAATACTATGACTTTACAATGTCACAGAGAGGTATATGTGACTGGTCCCTACCCGTGGACACTTTCTGATTGGATAGTCCGCTCACTCCATTATAGCCTGGAATGGTTATAAAGTTTCCTAAGAAGGCATGGTTCACAGCTGACAATGCCAGTGAGATGTAACTGGATGATGAATATGCTGACCTCATCAGTGGATTGTTCTATTGAGTTCATGGCTGGATGGGGCTATCAGGAAGTAGAGCTGACTGGTGAAAGTAGGTTAAAAGAGGTGTCTTTAAAGGGTATATTTTGTATTCTCTCTCTCCCTTCCTTCTTCCTAAACATCATGATGTAAGCCGCTTCCATGCTTCCTGTTGCAGTGTTCCACCTTGCTACGTGCAGGCCCATAAACAGTGGAGCTAAGATAACCATGGACCAAGATCTCTGAAACTGAAAAATAAATATTTTATCTCTCAAGTAGCTTTCTTAATATTTTATTACAACGATAAAAAACTAGCACATACACAAAGATAACTCTTTAGAGAAAGAATAACATTCAATTTGATTAATAGTATGTAAGTAGTAATAAGTATGATAGCAAGGATTACAAATGATATAAGCCTTAAATCATATTTGTTTGGAATTTCTAACTACAAATTGTCTTTCTCTGAGCATACTTAGGTTGAAGGGGCAAGAAGACAAAATGTAAAGCATAGATTGTTATTTCCTTTGCAATGTATTCTCATGGTGCCCATGTGACCAACTAAAATCTACTTAAAACCCGAGAGGACTTGAAAAGGATTTCTAGACACAAAGATACAGGGATTAACACAACTTCTTGCTGTTTGCTGGCAGCATGCTGCAGATCCTTTAAGAGAGGTTTTTCTGATGCAGCAGCAGCAGCAGCAGAAAAGCCACTCCATTTTAAAATGCTGACTTTCTGAGCTGTGCTGTCAGTGTGAACTCTGGCTCTTTCAGGAGGCCAAGCATTTAAATGGGATTTGTAAGCAGAGTGCTACAACTTGCTTAATGACAACATAGACCCTCTGTGTGCCTAAAAATGGGGCAATGTGCATGGCTCTAAGAGGCAGAACAGCTCCACCATGCTGGACTGTGCAGAGTAAACAGGAAGTACCGTATATACTCTAGTAATGCTGCAGCTTTATTTTTTTTGGAAGCGCTTAGCATTTTAATAAGTAGTCCTGGTCAGAAAATAGTTACAGGTACACAATAAAGACAAATTCAGATAGAAAAGACTTCTAAATGGGTCACAGTGTTGGATAAGTGTATTTAGGCTTGGGAGAGAGAAGAAAAAGAATATAGACAGTTATAAAAAGAAGTAAATGGTTTAATAAAGGTAAAGTCTTTAAAGAGACAGAGTACAGACAGTCATAGATTGAAAGGATTAAAGAAAAATAAACCATGAAAAGATGGAACGTTCACAGATAGTTTGGATTATGTATATTATTGTGTTTTCTTTGAATTTTTTGACTGTGAAGGAGCTAAGTACAGAGAGACATTTCATTGTTTGGCCTTCTAAGCTACCAGCATTTATATTATAAAGGTATCTTGACTTCAGAATTTGGGTCTAAGGATATGTTGCTTTGGTAAAGAGGTTCTTCTTTTGTTTCCACAGAAGATGAGAACCTGTGAATTAATTCCAGAATAATGTGGTTTGATGGACCAAGACCCCTGAAAGGTCACTGTGAACACCCCCCAAAATTACTTCACCCAACTGCTGACAGAGTTGAACCTCTCACAATGATATACTATAAAAGACCTGAATGTAAGCAG